CCTGCACTCCCACCTTGCTTTCACCAGTGCAACATTAAGCAATAACAGTGTACAGCACTTTTTGCAGTCAGTGTCTTTCCTCCCTTAAAAATCAGGGCCTATACACATGAAAAAAAAAAAAAAAAAAAAAAAATCGAACTTTCTTCCTCTTTTTTTTTTTTTTTTAAAGGGAGAGACACTTTGAGGTAGAGATTAATCATGCAGCAAAAGATTAATTCCCAGCTGCTTGGCAACCATCTGGACATTCTACTGGTTAAAACACTAGTTTGAATTGCTAACCTACCCCTTTGATCTTTCTCAATGTCTCCAGCCCATATGTGCAATAATTAAAGACATAGTCCACAAACTATTGCAAAAAAATAAATAAATAACTGTGCATGTACATATATATCTTCATAACCAGCCTGGCTGGTATCAGGAATTATAAATCACCAGGCAGTTTATGAAAACATGTCTCATCCTGACATACACTGGATGTCTCACACCAGTCTGGCAATAAAATAAGGTTTGGGTTTTATAACATTACATTCTGAAGAGTTATCAAAGCAAGACAGGATGTGACTTCCTCACATGGAAGACAGCGGACAACTTGCACATGGGGTTTTTTTGGGGGGGAACAGGACATTAATCAGCCAGGAATGATGTTAACAGGAGTCAGGATTGCTGTGATTTTAAACATGAACTAACAGATTCCTGCTCAACGATTACTCGGTGGTGAGAATCAGTTTAAAAGTGGATTCCTCACATAAATCAGGCACTGCACTCCAAACAAGACACCAGGGTTGGGGATAAAAGCAGGAAATTCAGTTGAACCAGAGAATATTTAACGCCACAATGTGCACTGCTTGGAGTATTTTGAAGGGGAAGTAAAACAGTATTTTCAGAACCAAGTTGTCATAAGAAAAAAAAGTTATGGAAAGTGAAAATCAAGATGAAAGCAATAATTGTGTCTTATCTGCCTTTCCTTGCCCCTTCGTGTGGGCCATGCTTGTGTCAACAGGATCCAACACACCTTCTTACATTTTAACAAGAATATGCACCAGAATTAAAAACCTTAACAGTTTTTACCCCTTGGAAACCAGTGTTATATTTATGAGCTGAAGAGTGACTTGGACAGCTCCAGGTGAACAGGATGACAAAAAATGGGGAAGAAGAAAGGGAGAGAAGTGGGAGAACAGACAGATAATAAAAAAAAAAAATCCAACACACAAAGCTCCACTTATGGTAAAATTCAGGTTTTGGGCTCACCTACAGATGGTTTTACAACTCAAATGCTTTCAGAAAGTTCATCAACACTACTCTCCTCCTGTTATTACTAAATATTTCTGAGCTTAAAAAGCACCAACAGGATCACCAGCCCCATCTCATACCTAAGGAGGTTCCTTTAGTTCTATCCAGCTCTCCTGATTCCATACACATATATATATATATATGTATCTCCATCTACCAAAATTTAAACTCTAGAGACACACAGAAATGAGCACACAAACACTTTTAATTCAATATAACATCCCAGACAACAATACTGGTATCTTTCGTTATCATTCCTGGAAGATATGAACAAAAATATTTGTTTTCAATATTTTCAAACAATTTGTTTCAATTTGTTATCAAACCCATGACAATGTTAATTTTACGATGGTTTAATTACAAGAGTCCTCCTTTAGGATACTCTCTCCATATTGGTTTTATTGATTGCTTTTAATTTGGCAGGAATTCCATGTATTTAAATACTTTGTTATGGAACAGAGCAATTAAGAGGAGGAAATCAAAACCATCAATGCTCACTGATCACCACCTCCTTCCAACTGCAGGGACTGTTATCTTCAAGTGTTCCTTTTCTTCTCCTAAAACCCCACCTCTTTCCATGATAACACCAGCAAGTGTTGTTCACTCTCCCTCCCAAGTCCCACAGCTTTCTTTCCTCCCTGAATTCTTTCCCCTACATTCCCTCTTGGGGAAAAATCCATATCCCAGCCCTTATGCAATTTTCTCCCTTTCAATTTATAATCTCTTGCCAGATAAGTGAGAAGCCCAGTAAATCCACTGCTTTCAACACCTTAAATTTAGAGCACTTTCAGCCAGATCAGGACTAACCTATAACACCATCAGTGCAGATTTTATCTTAACATAAATAGATCACTCCATCCCAACGCTTTTGGTGCTGTAAAACCGTGATGATCTTGATGATCTTTATAAATAAAATTGGTGTCACGCAGCAAATGGGAGTGCTCATTCCCCAAATAAAAGGAGAAAAACTTAAGTAGAGATTACAAAGATAAAGGTTCTAAATAGGTTTTTTAAAAGGCTGTATCTTAAAGATCAGATTTCTTGAATACATAAAGCCCAAAAAAAAGTTTTCATCTTACTTCTGGTTCTTAATCCATGAAGATGAATTTTTGGGGGAGGGGGGGTGTAATTCTCTGCACTGTTATCTTACACACAGATCATCTCCCCTTTTTCCTGGGCATGTTTTCCCTCTTCTTTATTCCCCACTCCATGAAAACTGGTGGGAGTCATCCTGCAGGTACCCTGTATTCCCCTGAAAACTCACCCAAACTTCCTCCTCCCTCCAGTTGCAAAACCCTTTAGTCTGAACTAATTTAGTATACAAGAGGCTGGAAAAGAACCCATCTAAAGACATCATCACTGGATTCCTAAAAATCAAAACAGAGAAATGACAGGAGCACAGTGATAAGTCAACAAAAACATTGGAAACACTCCAGTGTTCCCAGTTAACCCAGAGAGGTGAAGCTTCATAAGAGAGTTATTGCACAAAGCATTGAGCTTGCCAGTTTGTCAAAAATTAAATTAATTAAGAGGTGGTATGCAGCTCAGGACAAATCTACCCCAGGTATTCATTATAACCTGTAGTTGAAACTAATGAGAAGTGAAAATTCTTTCCAATATTCCTCAGATGTGTTTAGGTTTCATTTCTTGAGATAAGATAAATAAGTGTCTTTGCTTACAAAAAGCAAACCAGAAGGAAATTGAGAAAAAAAAAGTGCTAAGAAAAATTAAGATGGATAAAAATTAAGAAAGAGAATTTCCTTAAAGGAACACCAAAACTTCTTTAAAGGATACATCAGATAAACTAGTGGTTTGGCAAAGGTCAGCAAAACAACGTGTTTTATCAACACAGTTCGTTTTATTTTCTCAGCCCAGCAGAACTCTGTATCTTAGCAGTGTTTCTGAAAAATCACAAATCAGTCCTTTTCCTTTCCCCTCCTCTTCCCTGAGGATCTCTCTGTGACACTCAGGATGGCCAGAGCTGAAGTTCAAAGGGACATTTTTTCCTTTATACCAAGACAAGCCACCCCATCTGTGGTGCTTTGCTGTCCTGAACACGGATCTGTCCCCGTTCTGTTGCATCTTCCTCGTCTGAACCCCTGATTTTCCACTAATGACCATTTCCCAAATGGTTTAATCCATGTCAGAAGGATTTGGGGAAGAGATGACTAAAAGCCTGATGCTGTTGCAGTTTTCCCAGGGCTGGGATGTGGTTATCACTGCACAGGGCCATGTGTTCAGCATTACAGAGTCTAAACAGGTGCAGGAATGGTTTATGAACAAAGGTCTGAAGGTTAAAAGCAAAAAAAAAACCCCCACAGTTATCCTATTTTACGTTCTCCTGTTGTACTACAAAGAGGTTGAGAACAGTTAAAGGTTTCCCCAAACTCTTTTGCACAGCTCTATTTTCCTGTTAATGCATCTCTCTCCTATAAATGAAAAGGCTTTATTCTTAATTGAGCTTCACAAACAAAATAAGATGAAAACACATTTAAATTTTCTAGTTAATAGCACACACATGGTGATTGTGAAACACTGTCTGTAACCTTTCCAGTTCAAACCAGCACCATTAGCAAAAAATCCTGGATTTTTACTGTGTGGTTTAGAGGATTTTTCCACTGAACCAGCAAAGTATTAACTGGGTATTTTATGTAGCTCCTTGGCATGCATTCCTGTTTATTTAATTTGAAAATATTGTTTAAATGACAGCATTGTGCTTTCAATTTATTTATTTTCTGGGCTGTTTTCACATCTTATGAAACCTGGCCTCATCCTGAGGCACTGGTGCTTTGAATGTTGTCAGTGCAAAATGAACAGGCAATATTAGAGCAGAGAAAGTGAAAGGATTGTGCAACTGTTTGTTTGAGCATCAAACAAGGCTGCCAGGTAGCAACAGAAATCATTTCACATCCACTATTTCATTAACAATGGAAGCAAATCAAATTTACCCTCCCCTGTATCTCTGCTAAAGGCACCTTCTGAAGTGACTTGAAAGCAACTTTAGGACAGTCCCAATTCATAAGTGTTGAATTGGGTTGGGTTTCTGACTGGTTGGTTGGGTTTGGGTTTTTATTAATTGTTTTCCTAATGCATGCTGAGTTTCCTTTCCTGCTCATTAATTCACTGTCTCTCAAAAAAAAAGAAAAGATGTTTTAAATAAATTGAGTAGTTTGTGACAAAGCATCACGGGCAATCAGCTTCCTTAACCCATGAAAAAGGTGAAAATGAGCACAAAATTTGACTTTTATACACATTCATAACAAAATAACATGGTGTGAGAGACTTAGACAAGATTTGACAGAAACCTCCCCAATTCACAGTGTTTCAAAGAAGTAAAAATAAACCCCATATGCATAAAAGAGGACTGGAGCTCAATGAGGCAAATATAGAAATAATGTGGGTCCTAACAGAAATAAGGTCAAGGTCTCCAGATTTTTAAAGGTATATAGAAACTAAATAAAACTCTCACTAAATCGAGGGTTTCACTGCTTCTGCTAAAAGGTAGTTCAGAAAATTCCTAAAATTCAAAACTTTTCTATTCTTTCAAAGGACCCGCCTGTGTGTTCAGAAAGTCTTTTTCAGGCCCTAATTGGGAAGTACATTAAGCAGCTAATGAAAAGCCCTGACACTTCAGCAAAAGTTCTCTTCCATGAGATTTTTGCTGCTTTTTTAATGCCCAATTTCCAAAGGAAGATCCCTTGGAATCTCACCTCTTTCTCCTTTGCTCGAAGCAGCGACTGAGGGTCGAGAGAAGGCCTTTTTCCTGGGGCAATTTTAGGTGTCATCTATTGAATGAGAAAGAGTTCAAAACCGACTTATTAAACTAAAAACAGCAACTCCCAAGTAAAAAATCAGCCCTGACCAGAAATCAAAAATATGGAAAATGTTTGATTGCCTTTATGACACTTAAAGGGAACAGAAGCACCTACCAAAGACCTTGGCATCGGTTTTTGTCGCAAATATCTTGGGTTTTCTACCTGAAAAAAATGAGTCAGAGAAACAGTCATCGTGGCAACAATGTCTTACAAACAGTGAGACATCACAACCACACTTACACAGCAACTGCATCACTCAAAAGCAGCACAGAACAGATCCCAACGTGCTTTAAGTGTTACAGAAATAGGAAAGCTTCCTAAGAGATCACTTGGGTGGCTATGACCTAACTCAGCAAGTTTTATAATTTAAGCAGACCAAAAAAAAAATAAAAAATGGCACTTTTTTCCCCCCAAAACCTTTGTGGTTGTAAAAATTCCAATTTCAATGCATATTTTAAAAGGCTTTGGCAGCTGCAGACGTGGCTTATGCAAAAGATTTCCAACTTGATTGGATACATTTTCCTTGAAATCAGTGTAAAGCCACAATAAGTTTACAGATTATACTGATTAAAATCTAGTGTTTTTGAAAAATTACACTTGGGTGCATCGAATCAACTGCCACACATGTGAGTCACAGTGACAAAACATAAGGAAATAATTCATTAACATGACTGTATAATTAAAGCAGCTCTTAATCACTATTTTTAAGAACAGAACACAAAACATTGTTCCCAACCCACTTCCTCTATCACACAGATCTTCCTCATTCTGTCAGAGATGAGGCTCAAACATCACATCACAGAGATGCCCAAAAAAAAAATTTTCAAGGGTATAATCTTGGAAAATGCAGCAGTGGGATCTGGAATATGAATGTGATTGCAATACACATTAAAAAAACCCCAAAACACTAAATATTGTAAGATGAGGTTGATCTACAAGGCATGACAAATATATCAAATGTTTGCACTTTCTCCAGTGCTATTAAATAAATTTGTGTGCTGAATTTATCAGTGAAAAAGAGGCTTAATCCCTCTGAAATTTCAATTTGACACAGTGCTATTCATTTCCTGTCCTAAAAGGTTATGTAGGATTTCTGTATGGTGGGGAAGAGTTGTCATATTTCACCCAGTAGTTGTAGATATCCATGTTTGACAAAAATTCCATTTCAATGAATTATTATCTTTTATTTTAACCCTATAGCTCAAAAATACAAGAAAACCAGTAATTCAACAGATAATCTATTTATCTTTATTTTCAATGAGTTTACTACAGTCACATTAAACTTTCTTCCCTACAGAATCCATCAGGGAATGAAGGAATCCTGCCTGCACCTACTGCCCCAAAAATTAAGAAGTTTGGACACAGAGAGGAACAGAGGAGTGAGATCAACAGGGAGCATTAACCACAGTGGAGGGGAAAAAACAATGAAGAGAGATGGAAATAAAAATACAAAAATTCTGAACTAAAAATGTTGGTGTCCCACACGTTTGTCCCTTGCACTAGTATTTTCTATCTACGTTTTAGGAGTATTACACTCTTCCTTCCAGCTCCTTTTGGCCACTTCCCCACCCAGCCCACACACCTGATCAGCCCCTGGCAGGTACCCAGGGCTGCAGGTGCTCCACAAGTTCAAGGCACACCCCAATTTGGCATCCCAGAAAGCTGAGCAGCAGGGAACAGTGGAAGCCTTCCCCAGTACCTGGAGGAATCCTGAGAAGGCTGCAGAGCCACATTTCAAAGGTTTCATTATTTCCTAAAAGCCCTCTCTGTCACACAGTACAATCACCCTTTACTTTTGCTTTTTAAAAGCTAAAAATCATCATAAATATTCACAATTAATCCAAATCCTTTATCTGACCATGACATTAAGCTGTTTACAGCCTTCAAAACCCATCTAAAAAGCTAAGGTAGATCCTACTTGCTTGTGAGAAGGAAGGAAAATGTGTCTCTAATACTTTGTACAGCCCAAGTCTTGCATTTTTTGATTTTGTAACAGCAGCCATATGTGCTTTGAAGTTAAATGTTCCCACTTTGTTACTTGTTGTGGATTATATCCACTTAAACTGATCTGTAAACATTTAATGCCTCAACGTTCATTCTTTTCATGCTGGTCTTCTGCAAAACTTCTTGTTCTCAAAATTAGACCACATTAAAGAGGGAATATCACAAAGAATGCCCAAAAAAAAAAAAAAAAAAGCCTGTATTTATGAGAAACATGCAAATTTTAAAATAATAAGCAAAAGGTCAAAGCCAAGCCAAAATACATATGTATGAAACTAAAGGACTGCCACGAGAAGAACAGTAAATCACATGCCTTTTTTAAGAGTATGAACCAAATAAATGTCATCATGAAAGACATCTTCATTTGAACTAGAATTGAACTCTAATTTGTAAGTACCACTTCTTAATAAAAATGGCATTTTGAATTTCTTTGTAGAAAACGTTTTGGGTTCCCCTCTTCTACTGGGCAGTCAGACAAGAAACCACGTTTCCATTGGTGAGGACTGGCTTGGGCACCTTCTCCTACTTGAGTCCTCCTAAACCAGAGCTCTGAAGGTGTTGGGTGACCAGATCTCCATCATTTAACAGAAAGAATCTACTTCATATGCAAATATACCTATTTTCCTAAGTTGAAAAAAAAAAAAGCGTGGCAAAATGTGCATAAAAAACGAAATTCCAAAACAATTCCAACCTGAGGCAAGTCAGTCGTGTTTTTTAACTTAGTATTTTCCATTTCTACTTATGTAACAACACCTGAAGTGGTCAAAACTAACCATTCTTGAAGTGCACAATAAAGGCACCTGTGCAAGCAATGAGTGAAGCACTGATAAAAGTAAATTGATATAAAGTTGTTTCCCCCAAAAGCAAGGGTAGTGCAGGAAAAGCACATTTTTGAGCTCTAAGTACTTCCACAAGATTCATCCTCAGGACCTCAACTCTATTTCATCTCTCAGGCTGAAAACAGTGCATAGGCTTTATATTTGTGCACTAATCACAGTCCAGAAATTTACAGCAAATGCTCAGTAAATACCACAATAATGACAACACTGATGTCATGGTTCCATCCCACCCCTCCAAAATCCCATTTCATTCTCTGGAAGATGATTATCAAGGTCTAGTTATGTTCAATAAAGCACAACTGGAGCTTATTTCAGCTCGGTCCCAGAGGCAGAAGGTATATTGTGTATATTAAAGATTCGGGGAACAAAACCCCCACATTTGGATCAGCAGCCTTGCTGCACATTCCCCCTTCAGCTCCTTCAAAGACAAAACGTGATTGTTTTCAAAACAAGGGTGGCAAAAACACACATGAAAGAGTTAAGAACACTTAAGACTTTGAAATGGTAAACAACTAAACTGAACCTTGCCCTAAATTCTTACTTTAATCTAACAAACCCAGCCAGCATGTTCCCTACAGAAATAACTGCTGAGTAGCTTCAGGAAATTTGAGTAAGGACATTCTTATCTAACATCATAATTTGTAGGGAAGTTCACTTTAATGCTGCTGCTGCAGTCTTAGTGGAAGGACATTAAAGCACATGAAGATTGTTTGTCAGCATGGAAGTCGAATTTATTTTTTGAAGTCACACCACCACTTGGAGTTCACTGTGGGAAAGTTTTTCCAGTGTTGCTGCCCTCCAACGCCACAACATATACAGTAGGTATGTTTATAGTAAGCAGACAGACTGAGAAACCAAACAAAAGATAATCAAATGGTTTGTTCAGAAATGGTTGAGCTTAACTAGACTGGAAAGACAGAGGCAGATGTGAGCCAAGTGCAGGGAGCAGGCACAGCCTCCTCTGCTGCTGCAGCCACCCAAGAATTCCCAGTGCTTCCATCTGCTTTAACCCTGTGTGAAAGCATTTCTCCAAGGAAGGAGAACACAGTGCAAGCCACTGACTGCAGAATTTCTTTGGTCTAAGTCCTCCTAGACCCTTCTTAGGCAATAACATTTCCCATGGTAAAACCTTCTGGGCAAGACCTGATGTGCAGGTTCTTTGTGCTGCACGTCCCACATCACTTCTGGTAAAAGCTAAAGAGTTAAATTCTTGTGCTGGCTGAATTCCAGTGATGAAAACTCATGTTCTCCCTGATTAAAAAACCCTTTGCTGTTTCCCCAGGGTACAGTCTCTTTGTGTGCTTTCCACCTAAAGTGATGTGCTGAATTTCCTGGGATGTTTGAAAGCCTTGCTTTGTCACACCTAAAAATTGGTCACAATTCAGTGACAAATCCAACTGCATCAGAAGCACCATGAAATAGGGAAAGAGAGAGAGAGAGAGACAGAGAGAGAGGCAGGTCAGGTAAGAATTTCCAGGAATTTAATTCATTGTTGTTCCTTTACATAACAAAATTTTTATCCAAAAATTATGTTCCTCTGCAATCTAAAAAGCTCAACTACAAGAGGAAAAAAAAAAAAAGGAAAGGAAAAAAGGTAGTTTAATTCCATTATCCAAAAAGCTTTTTGTCCTGACTCATATATATCTAGATTTCACAATATTTAATTATTTTCTGAGGCAAACAGGAGATGGCCACCTCCCCTTAAGCTATGACTGCACTAGATTTACAACAATATGCAGAAGTTTATTGACAGCTGTTAATAAAATAAGATCATTGAATCATGGAATGGTTTGGGTTGGAACAGACCTTAAAGCTCATCTTGTTCCAATCCCCTGCCATGGGCAGGGACACCTTCCACTAGCCCAGGTTACTTTTATTATGTCCTAAAATACCTAAAGAAGGACAAAGGAAGTTCAAAGTAATGACATTTGTCTCAACTCCTGGCTCTGAAATTTTTCCCTTAAAACAGCAATACAAAAGGATTTCTTCTTCTCTACATTGCAAATGCAACTTGGAGGCACAAACACTTGATAAAGGACAGTGCCCACACTCAGATAAGAGTCAATAAGGGCTAAGAAAAACACACTTTTATAATGTATGTAAAATTGGCTTACATTAGTATTCCATGTACAAAAGGCAAATGTATTGCACTCAAAACTCAGCTTTTTAAAAAAATATTTACTCATGCATGACTAGAATCTAAAGAACTTGAACAATGAAATGTTTGATAGTGATAATCAGGAACGTTGCAAGGCAAAGGTAAAAATTCTTTCATTGCTCAGGAGAAGTAACAATATCAGCAAACTAATGCAACAGCCTTACTGTCCTGCAGAAAATGTTATTGCTAACAACAAATATTAGTGTGTTAAGCTTTGACCTCTCTGCTTAGCAGAGAAATCATAAAAGTATTTCCCAAAACTTATCAGAGTATTTTTAGCAATGCTAATAATAAAAAAGAAATCTCAGCCACTGATGTGGGCATATCATAAACACTGAAAACACATCCACTCTGTGACCTTAAAAATACCAGAGCTTTGAAGAAGAGGAAATTCAGAATATAGCAAAGAAGTAGGAGATCAAAAGATAACAGTAAAAATAAATTAACAGTTTATAACTGGTCATTATAATAATCAAGCACAGACTGGAATAGTGAAGGTTCAGCAGCAACTTGCAGTTGGAAGACACAAAGGTTGTCTCACCAATATGTAGAACACTTAGATAGGTATTTGCAGCTTCCTTGTTTGAAATAATCACAGCTTCCTAAAAATCACAAGGATTCTTACTGAGAAAAATCCTTGTATAAAGAAAGACTTGCATAACCAAAAAACCCCAGGAAAGTTTGCAAAGCTTTTTCAAAACAACAGTTCTTTACACTGGGCAGCTCAAAGCAAAAGCCATCCTGTATTTCCTTTCCTACCTTCCCCCACTACAGAACTGTTTCTTTTGGGTCAAGGGTCTTCTGTATCTGAGGTGAGATCACTTGTAAATTAAGTTTCCTGAACAGTTTGCAGATGGGCCTGGCAATTAAAGGGGAGCTGGATGCTCCCATGACATTGTAAATGCTCACAAATAACAGCAGCCACATCTGACACTCCAACCTTCCAGACTCCAAGGAGCTGCAGTCATTTAGTGAGATTTTCATTTCATTTTTAGCAATGACATATTCTTCTTTAAGTGTGACACTCTACTTAAAACTTCCTGACCCTTTCAGAAGGCACTGGAGGCCGTGATCCACAGCAGGGAAACACTGCTGAGCAGCAACCCCTCACAGACCTCTCTTTTACAACCTCAAATCCTCTTTGTCAGGTAACTCCCAACAAGTCTTATCAAGCAATCAAAGTCTCTCAGGAGCGACTTGTTTAATTACCATCCCTGGAGAGGAGACTTGAAAACCTGATTTATGTGTCACAGTAGCCAATTTGTTATCCAAGAGAGCTCCTGTATCAGCAGAGGATCATCACACTTTAATAACCATCCGTTATCAACACAACATGATTGCAAACTGGAATTTCAATTAGAGAAAGAAATAAAACACAAATAAAATTACAGAGATAAGCAAGCAGGCAGATCAACACTGATAGGAAAACACTGGATAGAAAGAGATTCTTTGTCAGCATCAGTTGGAACAATTTGTAAAATGGCCATGAGCAAGTTTTCCCCCTTAAAGCAGCTTTAAAAGCTCAAGGTATTACATATATCATATAATCCAGGTATTTATGCAGCCCAAATATCCAAAATCTGCAAGTGACTGCTTGCACCTTGGTTTCAGACACCTGTATGGAGCTTTGGCAAGTTGGAGCTGCTGCTCCTGAAAATGTTTGTGAGGATCCACTTTCCCTGCTTTACAAAGCTACAATTCCCCAAAAATACACTGATCTAAGTCTGGAAGTGCTAGAAATTGTTCTTGTATTACACTATAAAAGACAAGTCATCAAGAAACAGTTTGAACTTTTTCCAGAGTAAGATACTTTGTTTTGACCACTTGCCTGATTCATCAGTAACCTTATTAAATACAGTAAGTTTATTACAACTTAAAAGTGAGGCATTTTTAATGTTTTCTTCTCAGGATGACATGTTTTCATTAATAACCATTCCAAACTTTACCAACTCCTTTCTAAAAGACTGACTCCCACACCAGTTTTGTAGCCTAAGCTCACAGATGCAGATGACATTAATAAGGAGTTTCCATTTCGAGTTAATAAATAAGGAATGCACTCAGTTTGTTTTACCCCAAGATTCCAACTGTTGAGACGAGTTTCGAGGTCATTGTCATTCAAAGAAGCTGTTTTGTTGTGATGATCATCCTGGAACAGAAAAAAGTCAAACAAAATATCAGAAGAGCTGGTGGATACATAATTTAAAATAAAGCCTCTCTTTGGCTTGGTCATTCCTACACTGCATTTCCTGAGAGTGGCATGATACCTCTGACAGCTTTAATCTAAATAGCTCAGTTACCAGAAGAAAGGAATTCTGAGGATAAATTAGCCAGAGTCTTCACTTTATAATGTTCTTCTTTACTTATTCTGATCTCCTTTACACAGGATAAATTTAATAAACAAAAATCAAAATACTCCATTTCAAAATACTCCATATTCTAAAAATGATTCATCTCTCCACAGTACCCTTTGTGGGGCTAATCCAGAATTCAGAGATCACCTGATCAGCCTCCAAAGGAAAAAAAAATAAATTTAAAAATTAAAGGAAAGCACAGCAGTGGACAACTATCACTGGATAGTTATCAAAGCAGAGCTGCTGCCCAGCTCAAGGCTGAGGGTGCTCTCTGCAGAAAGGATTTCCAGCACCCCACCAGGACTGGGGTTATTGTTGCTCCAGGAAGTAACAAGGAATTGTCTTTCAGAAGAAAGTTTTTCCTGCAGGATAACAATAACTACAGACTGCATTCCATGGGGAAGCTGGTACAGAACATTTTGCTTAACTGAGATATTTAGAAAAACAACACCAGAGTGTGAATTTCTCTGTCTCACTAAGTTTTCTTAACAAGAGCCTTGTGGGTGGACCTGCCAGCACCTCTCCTTTCAATCTCCTCATTTGTCATAATCATTCAGTGAGTGGAGCTTGGGCTGCATTTCATCCACACTTGGTTGAGGCAGCTCTTAATGTCTCTTAAAAGACTCCCTGTTCCCCTACCTGGGCCTGAATTCTGCCAGAACATCTGTGTGTCCTGACAACAGAACAAGATATTATTTGTCCCAGCCAGTCAAACATTATCAAACTGTCTGGCAAAGCAAAAGAGGATTATTTCACTTAAAGGCCCTTTTAAAACTGTAGTCACAGAAGAATCCAATATATGAAGCTGAAGAACAGTGGAGTGCAGTGATCTCTCTAACATTGCCCTGGAAGCTGTGGCAGAGCCAGCAACAAAAAGACAACAAGCCAAAACAACAAAAAACCCCCCTCACAAAACAACTTTAAAGCCCCAAAACCAAGTCTCAAGTGAAAAAAATTTTCTTCACAATAAGTGTTCCATAAGGAATATTTCTCTAAGTAAAATAAACACAAAACCAATAAGAAGAAATTTAGTAAATCTAGCATTTTGGTGGATACATAACTTAAAATAAAGCTTCTTAAAATAAACCAAACTTAAAATAAACAAAAAAATCTGGTTTTATTTTTAATCATGGCATTGCTGGTTTTAAGTTATACTTGTGTAAATACATTCATACCAATCAGAGCCTAGGGCAGAGACACTGTTTTTGCCCACTGACCACCTGCAACCTGTCATGACAAACCATCCCCTTGCTAATCCTCTATTCCAGATGCTCAACAGAACACAAATTTCCTCAGAACACTCCCAATTTATCCCAGTTGCACTTCACATCCTCATAAATTCTTGGCTGTGCCCAGCAAGGAAGGGAAGAACAGTCTGTATGAATTCCTCAGGTGGCAACAGCTGCAATCTTTGTGAACTGTTCCCCTGATATCATCAAAAAAGAATTATGGGCAGACCTCAACAGGTTCATACAGCAAATTCAGTGTTCCATGGAGGGATGGGAGTTGTTGTAGATGTGGTAAAAGCCACATTTAGGAAGGGAAACAGCACATTTCTTGGAAAGGGATATTTGTCAGGAGCAATTTTCAGTGTAAATGCTTGCAATTATACACACAATATCACTAAATATTTTGGGCTGAACAGGTTTTCCATGAAGTCTGTTCAGTGTCCTTTCATCAGCCACAAATGCTCCTTGTGGAAAGTCTGATGAAACAAAACTGTCCAAAATTCACTCTTGCAGAGGTCAACCATCACTAACCAGAGCCAGAGGCATCTCTGCAGCTTTCTTTAATCTGTTATTGCAAAATAATGCAAGATGATGTCAGTGCAGGCACCTTGCCAAGCCCAGGGAAAACAAAGCACCCAACACACTAAACAGAGGGCAGGAGTTGGGATGCTCCCAGTTCATCCTACAAGGAATTCCCTCCCCCCTGCACTGCAGAGGACAGATTTTGGGGAGTTTTAGTCCCTGTCTGCACCTTTACACAGGGCTCATGACCCACACGACCAGAAATCACAGCTTTACAGGGATATATAAAAACCAACTCATGGAAAACAGAGCAAGTTCTATGAGAAAAAGGAGAAGGATCTTACAGACTCTGACGTGCCCAGGTCATTTTCCCCTGTCCTGTGAAGATAAACCCCGGAATGGGATATATCTGATGGCTTCTCACTGGATGTTTCCCTGTTATTAACAACAAGAGTAAGCAGAGAGAGAAAAAAAAAATTCATTTTCAACAATCTGTGGCACACAAAGGATGTTAATCATAGAGTAGAATCTTTTAAAATATACAGGAGAAAATAATTATCAAGATGTATGGATCAAAAAAAGGAGAAAAAGAGAAAATTTCTTGTCAAAGGCAAACAAAAGCCTTAAGTATTCCATTAAAAAAAACACCACCAGAAAAAACCCATGCCAACAGAAACCCCAGAAATATTGTGTACATGATAGTACATTAAAAAGCATTCATTGCTTTTCTTTTACTACATGACCCAACATCACATGATGGATTTTAGAATAAATCCAAGTTAACCAGGAAGGCTGATCTAGGAGAATGCTTTTGAAATAGTGGAGTGCTAGACAGGGATTTTCTGCAAAAGCTTTTGTCATAAATAAAATACTTGAACAGAAGGAAATTAATAATAGCAGGTGAAGAGAACTGTCCCTGATGCACCTGGTCAACAGATATTTATCAACCACAGAACAGTGAAAGAAAAGAACAGCCTGAAACAAAATAAAATAAAAATTATAAGCATTTATTAGATAGGTTGATACAGCAAAAGATCCAAAACAGCAGCAAAACACCCTTCAGCATAAACTCCACTGTCAAATCCACAGGTATTAAGGTAATTAAAAACTCCTGTTAGTCCCTTCACCTTCCCATGACTGGTTATATTACATTAAAATCAAATCAGACCATTAAAATACCTTCCTTCCTTTCCATCTGGCAGCAAATGAGATGGTTGTTATGCCAAAGAGACTCTGAGATGAATTAAGTGTTTATGAACAGAACAACAACAGTTGGATGTACAATATAAACGAGTCACTTCTAGGAAGACAAACACAAAGTTTTCACAAAGCACAGGGGCCCAGCTTTCATCAAAACAGCAGGGAACAGAGAAATACAACAACTGGGAGCAAACCTTCCCTTCCAGCACCAATAAATCCCATATAAACAACATGTATGGATGCATAACAGCCATCACAAAGCACTAAATAGTTTAGATAAGCAGAGTCTTAGAGGTAAAAAGGATCAAAAGAAATTTAATAACACAATGCCTCTCGCATTTCTTCCCGAGATTTCATTTGACACAAAATTACCTTTCATTAAAGGGAGATAAATCTTTGCCTGTCTGTAAATCTGCACTTTTATCAGATTTGTTTTCTCAGCAACGCTCAGGTTAAACAATTCAATAATGTTCCAATTGTTAAAAATGAGAGAAAACAGAATTCATGCCCTTATCATTCAGAGATTAAGGAATGTCAACAAATACACAAACCAAGCCAAGTCACCTGTAATACTCTCAATTTGACAAAAGGGGGAAAAAAGGTTTACATAGATTTTAGTTCTGTATTTGCTGTTTGGAAGAGGGACTGAAAAGGAAGCTGCTTTACTTGATTCTATAAACAGAATCTGAAGTTGTTATGGGTGGCCCACAATTTTGCTCCTCTCAAGCATATTCTGCCCATTCACTCCCTTTTCCAGCCTTCTGCCAACACAAGGCAGGTTCCAAAAAAAAAATAAAAAATCACAGGATTGTTTCTTTTTCCTCCCAGGGCAGGTGAGTGAGAAGTGGTCAGTCTTGACACCAGCCCTGTGACCTCCTGCTTCAGCCAAAACACTGAGCATGGGAGAAGGAAGCAATTTTGTGCTAATAAAGGAGATTAGTAAATAATAACCTACTAGGAACAAAGTGAGGGAAACTCACTGGTTCCTCCTGGTCCAGCACAGCTCCACACTAACCTTTAACAGTGTTTTTCAGGCACAATCTCTACACATACAGTAGAATTTTCCTGTGGGGTCAGAAACACCAGGTTTCTGTTCCACGTTCCTCAAACCAACCCTCTCGTGTTTCAAAATAAAGCTGCACCTTTCCAGCACCAGCTGCCTTGGGCTTATTCATCCACCTCCCAGCTTGCAAGTAAGGTTTGTTTACCTCCTTTTCATTTAGGCAGAAAAACAACTTCATATAGAAAAGTCAAAGTTGCCAAACACAGAATTATTTGTATGGCAAGATAAAAATCACTATGAAAAGAACTTCTCTGTTTGGGCCTTTGAAAGGGGAGAATCTTGAGATAAATAACAGCAAGTAGTTACTCAAACATGTCTCGCTGACATTATCTATTTTGCCCTGAGAAAATGTTGTAAGAACTGAGTCATGCCTGGAATGCAAAATTTTCATCCAGCTACACATATTCCATGCCCATGGATCCAGTTTTCCCAATGCACATTCGGAGGAGAGAGACAAATACAACGGAACTCGATCACCATCTGCTGGCTCTCCCTACAAACTGCACATCCCAGAAATATTTCATATATTCCATCTTAACCTGCACTGATAGCTCGTTCAAAACTGTAAATACAAAGAAAACCAGGATCTGTATGTTGGATATAGGTAACATCTTAACACAGTCACATGTAAATAAGTATTAAAGAAGCTATTTCTACAAAAAACAACAGCTGAAATATCTACCTTCAATATTTTTCCTGCATAGCTCACAAGAAAACTCATTTCTCGTTGCTCTGAAGACTAATTTATGTAACCTACAGAACCATCAAAATTTGCCAACACAAATTCAGATTTCCTCAGACACAATTCCACTCTTGGTTTGAGCACCCATTAGCAGAGCTGTGCCTACACAGCAAAGTTTCACTTCCAGAGTCCCCTAAACCAGAAACATTATTCCATCACATTTACTTGCTTCTCCTGACATGGAATAATATGCAATCCACATCTCCAGAGAACTCACCAGAGCCTTGGGAATCATATATTGATCACCAAAGGAATATGATAACTCAGCTGGCAATTTTCCATTCTCTGTTTCTTAAACCACAAGGCTCTTATCAAAACCACAAGCTCCTATCAGAGCAACCAGAAGAGCCCTTAGTCCTCAGGAAAAGGGGATACATCAGACCTAAGAGCAGCTTTTTAAGTGATTGTTAGAATTACACACAGTTACTGGATGCAGAAGAGGAAAAGCTTCATGATACTCAATATCAACATGATTTAACTTGCAAGAGTGTCTAACTGTCATCCCTCCAAATCACAGCTGAAAAATTAAAAACATGATTTAAGAAACATGATATAAACATCATATACATATAAGCATCATATACAGCAAACACATCAGTGTGCCTACAATAAGACAGCTAATGATGGCCACTTATGAAAAATGTAAGTGAACACACTAAAAAAACACTAAACTCGTGAAACAAAACCTGCATATGTATTTGTAACGTGATGAAATCAAACCAGAAGCTTCATATAGAAGCAAACACTCACTTCCACCTGCACAGCACCTACTGAGCCTTGAATAATAGTCACAGCCTATGTCTGAGTGTTTCCTTCACCAAGGATTTCAGAGAGGTTAAACATTAACTACACTTCCAAACCAGCAAACAAGAGGCCACTCCATCCATGACTGAAATGCAGTCACATAAAAAAAAAAACCCAAAAAGGAACATAGATCTTGATAATCAGCACCAAGTTGTGCTGCAAAGAAAATCCAGAAAGTAAATACTTAAGAACAGTAGACTGAACTAAAATTTACCTAAGACTCCCTCAAAATAGGGCAGAACAGAGCTGAAGATTTCCAACGCTGTCCAACTGACCAGCTGGGCACTCCTTCAGTACTGCAGGGACATTTTTCCAAGCCAACAGGAGAACAAGCCTCAATAACCTGACCCATTTCAGCCCTTTCCCTGCTCTGTGAGCAGCTCTATGCCCAACTGATTGGAACTAAGGATGCAGCTGAAGCTTATGAGCTCCTGCAAACCTCCCCAGAGCCAATGGATTGCCAGAACAAGGTGCAGCTACAGGTGTTCAGGGTTCAGCTGCAGAGCTGCAAATGAGCAAGGCTGAATTTTTTAAATTATCCTACATGTAGGATTTAAGCACAGGTGGTGCTGGTCACCAACAAAGCTCATGGATTTGTAGTAGCCACCATGATATGGACCAAAACATTTTAAATAAAACCCAAAGAGTTGTTGTTCAGACAAGGATGGAACCATTGCAGTCTTCCCCACTCAAAAACATGGCAGAGTATCCCCCAGGCAGCAGCTCTGATTTTTAGCCTCCTAAATTTTAACAAGCACAGCTGGGCCAGCCTGACCTTCTGGAATCCAAGATTTATTATGCTTAAGGGAAATATAAAGAAATCTTGCTAGTTCATAAAAAAGCCCTGATGAAACACAAGACAAATAGGTGTTCAAGGTGAACCAACACACTCACAAAAAGATAAATCAAATCTCTCTGTACACATGAAACTTTTCCTCCTTTCTCACAGAACAGCAAACTTTGCTTATCTGCAGGAAGCCATTATTCTGCTTCCTCTAAAAAAAACCCCCAAAAACCTGGGAGAAACAATCATAGAACAACCTTTAAATCCACCATCTGTGTGCTTGTTTAGATTTCTAATCTCTATAGGAAATATAGCCATTAATAACTATTTGATAAAACAGTTCCTTTCAGCATTATGGCCCTAGACTACAAATGTTAACTTAGATTTTCCAGGTTAAGTGTCTGTAACTGAAAGGAGGAGGAGAACAAGAGGAAGGGAAAGAGGACAGAGTTTGGAGGGGTATGGAGGATGAAAGAAGACACGATGGAGAAAAGTAAGAATGGAAAAAGTCTAGAATATGTCATTACATTGAAGCAATTACCTGAGTTTCTGTTTATCAAGTACAAACACTGATGATGGACTCACCACAAACTCACACAAACTGAAACATCCATAGCTTATCAAATCAGAAATCTATTAAATATCAAATACTGAACAAAGCAAACACAGAAATCTTACCCCTGTGCTGTTGATACAGAGGATTCCTCTTTAGCTTCACTGTTTTCTAGTTCTCCCAGTACCCACTCAGGCAAACAGCCTGAGCTATTGCTCACAGCTCCTGCTGTACCTAGTTCTTCAACAAAAGTTGTCTGTAATGAGAATAAAAGCAAAATCAACAAAATATATTTGCACCAATACATTCTTTACAGAGTTAAAAGTTGTTCTTTACAGGAATATCTGCAGTAAAAACATCCTTTTTCCAGTGAAGGCAGTGGCAGATGCCACACTCCCAACCCATGGAAATTCATACAACAGGCAACAGTGTAAATGTTTTCCAGTACTTTACTTCCTTCAGTATGGGTAATTTTAGCATAAATTAGGATTGTTATCCCATTAAAGCTGATGCCAGCATCAACACAATATATTCAGGTCTTCAGAAAACAAACTTAAGAAGCTTAACAAGATCTGTGTGAACAGCCATCTTATCTTTCACAGATACACAGCCTCCTATAATCACCGCTAATTACTAAAGTCACCACCTTGGAGCACATTTTTTCTTTCACAAAACTGCTGATTAAGACAAAAGAAAGCCTCAATGGCTTTTTATTACATATTTTCAAAGAATCAGAAATTGTTTCTTCAGAACACTGATTTTTATAAGCCTTCTAATCTGAATTTTGAAGAAGATAAAGGTTTCATAAGAGGTTTTGCCCATTAAAAGATTTTCCCAACATCATTTTTCACATTCGTGCCAAATCAAAGAGGCAAACGTATCTTGAGGGTATATCTTTGTTTGTCTCACACTCACCATGTGGGAAGGTAAACTTTTCAGCAATCCTTGTTCTGGTTTTTGTGCAAAAGGTCCCTCCAGGACTCCTTGTTTCAGCATGTGGAGCAAAAGTTTTGCATACAAGTTCCGATTCTTCCTTCCCTCTAATCCTACCCCTGCTCCTGAGGGTCTGCAGAGTTTTTTAATCCACAGTGCACATATTCTTCGTTCTGAAAACACAGATATACATCCTCATTCTACATTTTCAAAGCAAATCAAACACACTGAAGAAACAGAAGCCATCACTGGTCACCAGTTTCAGGGTGTTTCCCTTCTACCCAAAAGTTTAAAGCAAAACAAACCAACCCAAATGACCAAACCAAACAAAAACAGTTAAACAGATTATTTATAAGTCTTTAACAACAGTTCAAATTTACATATTCCAGAAACATTTTCTATAAATTCATGTTTTCATCACTTCCAGAAATGGCATGTTTGGGAATCAATCCCTAATAAGGACAGAAGACATAAATCAGCAGGAATTCTGCAATCACTGCAAGAGCAGCCATTAACTACAACTTACAGCCTGCATGAGCATTAATAGTTTAAATACATAAATAAATATTCATTAATTAAAAAAAAATAATCTGTATTTACACAAGTTTTGCTACCAGATGATGAAATTATTCATTTGGTTAAATGTTCACACAGAAAGGTCTTAATTTGTAGGGTATGTGGCTTTAATAATAACCAGTTGGCTGTAAAAAAAAACAGATTTATAAAACATCATTTATTAATTGATGTTCCTATTATTACACATTCCTAGCCAAATTTTAACACCTGTATAACTAGAAAATATTTGTAATTTGTAAGGGCCATCTCAAAAACAATGCCTTTAAGAAGTTTTTTGTTTCTACAGCATTAGGTTTTTAAAAAGAAATACTAATGTGTTTATGCAAAAAGTATATTTACATTGTGATGATAACACAGATGAGCTCAAACAATTGCAGAAAGTATCTAAAAAAATCCACCTTTAGAAGTTGGACAAACCCTATGACAAAACCATGCCATAACAGACATTAAGTTTCTGGCTATATACAAGTATACAGATACAAAATAATAGTTATCAGTCACCTAGAATTCTGTTATTAGCCTTTAAATGCACATTTTACCATATTTACCAGAACTATCCTGCAGCTTTAGAACATAAGGCTTCATAGCCACAACATAGCGATTCAATTCTGTATCCAGTTTCTCAGAGATTTCGTCCTCGCTGCTCATTTTGGAAGAACATTCACCACGTCGGAGGAGAAAAGGGTCAAAAATTCACTTTACATCAGTCTGTCTTCACCTCGGGGCCCCGCAAAGACATGCTTGGAAACTAGGCAGGAAACAAAACTAGATGTGTTAACTGCGCACAAACAAACACGAAACTAAGAGGGATTGTTTGCAAACAGCAGATACGAGGATGTGTTTGTTTGGGTTTGAAATTGAACTTCCAACCACGCGCTAAATGTATTCATTAGACGCAATTTGTACAGAGCACCTCGAGGCGCTTGTGTGGGACCGCGTTCCTAACCTGGTACTCCTTAGGATTAAAGGTTTGGTTTTTTTTTTTTAAGGCAGAGGAGGAAAAAAGGAGAAACTAGTAGAAAAAACTGGAAACCAGAAGCAAGTAGAGGTATAGTTAAAAGCGGCAGAACCAAAAACGTTGTCAGGGCTGGTTTTTGAGGAAGCGGCGCTGCAAAGGCAAGCGCTCATCACCAAACTGTCACAGAACCACGGAGCTGGAGGGGACCCAAAAGGATCATCGCGTCTTAAGCGAATCACTGTTAAGTAAATAGATGGGGATTGACCCCACAACCTCGGCGTTATCAGGACCAGGTCTGACCAACCGAGGGTCGTTTCCCAGCTGGAAC